CACTGAAGGAGAACCACAGACTGTAGGCCTCCTCTGAATTCTGATAGGGTCAGGACCTTCAAAAGCCCTCATGGCGGTCGAGCCCTCCATGCAGGTGTCTGACTGCTTCATTGCTGCTGCCCCCCTTCCTGGGAGGCCTTGGGACGTCTTGGAAACCGAGGCTTCCTCTTTGGAGAAGGAGGGCTTCCTGGCTCTTGCTCTGTCTGGCTCTTTGGAGTGGATGACCTCTTCACGTCCGGCTTTTTGTTTGCAAGCACCTCCAGGTCTTTCAAATACCCCAGAGTGGTAGCAGTCCAGGCCGGGGGGATGAGAGGCGAGAAAGGCCTGCTCGTAGAAGTGACTGCGACCGTCCTCTCCTGAAACATGGTCACTGGAGGCTCTTCGAGGAGGCTGATGAGGCAATCTCCATTGTCGAAGTTTGCTTGTTCCACCGCCATAGCCAGCAATGCCAGGTGATCTCGACAGCCTACCATATCGTTGCGGGCGGCCGCATCGACAGCATGGGCGACGATCCATTGAACAAGGCCCAGGCTCCTCTGATTGCGGTAGCCCCCTGACTTCTCCAAATACTCTAATAAGGAAACGGCCTCCAGCTCCTCCTCCGTCTTGGGAAGGGGCCTCCCAGGCCTGAGCTTCTTGTGAACCTGTTGCATGAGGAGAAGGAAGAAATTCCCCGTACGGCTTGCGAGCTCTGCTTGCATTTTCTCCCTCCTTAGCACTCCCTTCATCGAAGAGGTAGTCATAGAGCCGGACGACAAATCGGCCAGAGGATCCTGCTGGGTCAAGTGAGTGACCAATGCAGTAATCGCTGTTGACTGCTGACTGAGGGCAGTCACAATCTGTCCAGAGTCCTGAGCATGATCTCCCGTCCCAAGAAGAAGTGCGTTCGGCTCTTCTGGTGGAATAGGAGCGACCACAGCGGCCGTCTTGTGCATGTGAGTCTTTGGAGGAGGTCCCACCAGCTGCAGCATCTTGGGAACGGATAAAGGAGGTCCATCCCCGGAACGCAGGCCTTCGGACAAGGCCGGAAACTTGACGGCTCTGCCAGTTTGCTGTCCTGAGGCATCTTTTGCAGAGGGGGATGATGTTCCAGCCTTCTCGAGAGCATCCTGCCTGACTGTCAACACTTGCATCTCTGGGCCGTGATCAGGTTCAACTGTTCCATAATGCTGGCATTGGTGACTCGCTTCACCGCAGGAGCCTTCTTCTGACCTGTCTTCGAAGGAGGCGGCGCCTTTGCTTCCGGGTCTTCTTGAGCCGACTGAAAAGGAGCACCTCCATCATATCGCTCTGCAATCCAGGATTGAACAGCCGGGAGCAACGAAGAAAGCTGAGGGATCGCCTGGACCGCAGTCTCATGAAAAGGCTGAATCGAAGAATCAGAGTCAGTCACCGGGTCATACTCCCGGCATCTTGCTAGCACCTCATTTCCAACATCAATGACTGTCACAGGCCCGCTCAGCCCGAGCGGTATTGTGCTGCCATCGTCGGTCTCCTCCACAAAGGGAACCTCAAACATAGATCCAATGCCCAGCCAACTAGGAAATTCAGCAGGGTATTCTCCTTCAACCACCATGGCATCATCAAAGAGGCCATGAGGCACACACAACAGAAAACCTTCAGCTCGTGCAAGAAGAGGGACACCATAAGCCTCTAGGGGTGCTCCTGCATGCAAGAAGTCCAAACCGACCACCAGGAGCGAGAAGTCGGCCTCACCAATTGCCATCCTCACTTGTGAGACTTGCATTGAAACACAGGAGGTGTATCAATGCCAGCCGCCGCGCAAAACACTTGCACTTCTGTCAGGGAAGGGAAACCTTGGTGTACGGGACCACAATCAAGACTTGGAAGCACAGCAAGTAGGCTCCTCAGGTCTGATACCCGTCTCACACGCACTGCACCGTTGAGAGAGGGAGCGCGAAGGACCACCCAGATGGTATCCGAGAGCGAAGGCAAAGGATCCACAGGGGTATACTCGGTGTGAGTCGACAAGGCCACCCAGGCAGCAAAACCTGCCTTCCAAGCCCTCTGAACTCTCTCTTGAGGCTGTCCCACCACCGATGAGATCTTGCTCGAAGCTAAAATGAGAAGCGACTGTGGAATAGCAGGGACACCCTCCTCGACTCCCGTGAAAGACTTCGGAACCGTCCACGGAACCTCAACAGAAGGCTCGACCAATTCCCAACCGGCCTGAGAGATGATAGGCACGGAGACCGTCGTAGATGAGGAAGACGGCAATGAAGCTCGATCAAAAGCAAGGGCCAGCTGGTTCACAGCGTGCACTAAACGGTCAATGTCCTCACGGGTCACCGGCCTGCTCATTCACGATACTCCGCCAGTCGAGCTCTCCTCACCAGATGGAGAGGCCTTGCCAGCACCTCCGCAACCTCCGGTCCACCTCCAGCAGCTGCAGAATTGCCAAGCCGGACAAAATGCAAAGCCGAGTAAGCCAGGAAGACAAATCCAAGAATGGAAAAGAGGATCCCAAGGCAAAGGCCGAGCAAAAGCCACGGGAGGCAGGAGCTGCTGCAATGGAGAGGGCAGGTGAACCGAAGGGACAAGTCAGAGAGAGCGGCAAAGGACTCAGCGAACTTAACCACCCTATCTAGCATGCCTTGAGCACGAAAAGGAAAGACAGATTTACAAGTTCAACAGACAAATCCTCTTGAAAAAATCTTTCATACACGCAAGACACCAAACTAATGTTATACCAAATTGCTGCTAAAGTTCTTTTCCATGTCCCACAATCACCCGTGGACGCACCGAGTAGGACCCCTCCTCAAGAATGAGGGCTCTTCTACACTCCGTCTTCCGTAAATCCTCTTTCGGGTCCATGCCCTCTGCGCAACCATGCCTTCGTGAGTGGAATGATTCTCACCACCCCCCTCGATCCGCACCACAGCTGCACCGATGTCGGCTCCGCGACGACCACCGGACGCGGATTAGCAGGTGGCCATCCATTTTGGAGGCCCACCGATCCAACTGGTGTTCGGAGGGAGCAAGAAGCTGTCAAATCATCCAAGTTGGACGCTCTATGACTTCGCAGAGGAGTCCATCTGGGATCAATACCTCAGGTATGAGGCCTGATGTCGACGGAGTCTTCCAATGATACACCTCTCTTTGTTTCGGGCGCCCCAATCAAGCCGCACGCATGCCCATCCCCCCCGTCGCTTTCTGCATCACCGAGCCGCGGTGTGCCGGCGTCAGGCTCCTCGGCTCGAGCAGGGACACGACACGACCGAGGGAACGGCAGCGATGTCAGCCACCGGCCGTTCATGTGTTGTTGGTGAGATGATCCGAACCAGGAGGACAGGACTTCCGCCCCGGCCAATGGCCAATGGCCCTTGATGGAGCAAATCATCAGGATTTGGGGATTCCAACAGCCATGGGTTTGAATGGTCTTTGACAACTGCCATGTGTTTTGACCAAGGATTTTACACTACAAAGCCAGGTCAAGCATTGTGCTTTAAAGGCTAGGGCATGGCTTGCCTTATGGGCTCCAGCACCTTATGGGCTCGACCGTGGCCGTTGCGGCCGAGCCGAACCATCCCCCCGGGTTCCGTGACTCGGTGGGGTGGATTCTGTCAGTCGAACGGGAAAGAACGACACGTTGCGACTCGGTTGTGTCTGATGGGTCGAAACGCAGTAGACCCAAGAACAAGCTATCAAAAAACCAGTCTCCTGCAGTACTCTCTTTTGGGTGGAGGGGGGCCGCGAACAGAAAGACTGGTGGAGACAGCCGAAAGACTGGGGTTTGGGCGGGTGAAACCTCTCAGAAGTGATGGTCAATTTAAACAACTTGGGGCGTGTCAAGGTGTCAAGTGTCATCCCAACTCTTGGGGGGAAAGAGAAGACCACCTGAGCAACTGCTTGGCAGGGTTGGACTTTGGACCCTCTATGTGTATAGATGCCCAGAAATCCCACGTCAAGGAAGCTATCTTTCCTCTGACGAACCACACAGAAGTCATATTGAGCTGTGGTCCAAATGCTCCTCCAGTGTGCTCAGCTGGTATCACTGCAACAACACCAGCCAGTACAATCACCCAACTAATTAACCTCATCTCAGGCTTGCAGGCGCTCTGGATCGCCCCGGCACCTCTCGCGCCATGCCAAACGAGAGGCTTTTCGACGTTCTCGGCCATGGCAGTTCTAATCAATGAAACATGCTTTGCTCTGCGGGGCGCGGGCACCGTGTTTCGAGCTCGGAACCTCGACGTTCTCGGCCTATCAACCAAAAATATGGAAATCTTCACTCACCAAAGAGCTGGAAATGTCTGGATCTCTTGAAAGAAGTTGTCAGTGAGTTTCTTATAAAGGAATATAAAAAAGGTCCAATGCAAAGGACGCTTCAAAGAACGGGGTCTCAAGCCGCGAGAGAGGAAACTTAGGAGAAAACAGCCTAAGTTTAACTGACCCCTGGCAATGGCAACATGAAGCAGGAAAATCCTGATATTTCGGCCAACGGGGTCTCCTTATTGCAATCCACAGTGGTTTCAGGGTCGCAAACCCAGTCTGACCCTTCTTCAGAGCTTGACACCGGTCTCTGAGCCGCTCCGCGGCAACCGCGCGGACCGGTGGAGACCCCGACACCTTCACCTCAAAGGCAAAGGCTTTTTGGGGGCGATTCAATCTATAAGGCTCCCACCTCGTGAGAAGGTGGGACTAGGGTGGGTGCCAGGGCCTAACCACCTGACGATATGGGCCAGGAACCCTAGGGCATAGACACCCACTAGACCTGGGCTGTCCAAGCACTTAGCAGAGTCCCAGCTCGGGAGCCTTTTGCGACGCTCCAAAACGCACAAAGGAGTCTCGAGTGGAACTTCCGTGACTTGACGCCACCCTGGGAGTGATCCTCAAAAAGAACCAGGGGGAATCACCACTCACTTGGACTCTTGGTGACCTTCACCTGCGACCTTTCCACACTTCAAAGCAGGGAAAAATAGGAGTCGAGACAAGACGCACTCCGTCACCGCCGGACCTTCGCGCGTCTAGCCCGGCACCTCTTCCCACAAAACGGGCGAAGGAGCCGCCTCCGGAAGCGCCGGATCGCGTCGATGGACAGCCAGAAGCTGCGCGTCGGGGTTCCCTGAGGTTCGGGCACCTTTCGGTTCGGAGAACGCAGAACGCGTGGCTCATATGGTACGCAGAACCAAAGAGGTCAAAGGTTGATTTTGTTTTTTCTCGGAACGTCCAAATGGCGCGTTGCAAACTAGAACGTTCTGTGGATCCAAGCCCCAAATGGACGCGTTCATCCTGGAACCCCCCGTCCCAACCAGAAAGAAATGGATGGAACTCCCCAGTCCCAGCCGTTCCCGTTCCCAGCCTGTAAAGGATCTGCTTTGCTGGCGCCATAAGGAGGAACTACCAGAACTGTTTCTGGTTAGAACTTGGTTCCCAGGATAGAATGGCTTCTCTGCGATCTCTGCAGCCAGTCTTGCTTTGGGGACCTCCAGTCTGCTTCTTCGCCGATCAACTCTTTGGGTTGTGCGACGTTGGTTCCACGTGTAGCGATGTCTTCAAAGGTCCACGTGTGGCGAAGCGACATACTGTGAATCAGTTCTCCTAAGTCTCTGACACAACGAACACAGAGAAGGTTCAGAAAATATACCAGTCTACCCAGCCAGGGCCAGGGCGTCTCCCTAAACACGCCCACATGGAAGTGGATGGCACCCCCTAGTTTGTAAAGGAAAGTCGCCTTCCTTTCGGGGCCCATGCCATCCTCTTCCTCGTCAGAGTGTAACATGACCCCTACCAGCCACCCCTACCAGGTGAATGGACATCCCTTCAAACCATTTCACCACAGCGCCTTTGGGGCCGAAGACCAGTCGGTCGCTGGGCGGCGTCCTGTCGCGGTGGGGGGTGGGAACCCCACTGCGGTGTTGCACGGCGCCAGACCAGAGGGTCTTCCAGACCAGAGAGAAACTGGAAGACCATGGCATGTGTTTTTAAAATGTAAAAAAATTGTAGTGTGAAACTCTCATGTTTCTCGTTGAACTGGAACTGGAGCGAATGGAACTGGAACTCTCACATCGGGCAGATGGGACACACGTAAGGACCATGTGGAGATGTGGTGGTGACAAAGCAACGTCCTGCATCCAAATGGGACTCTCAGCGAGTGAGGGAAGCAAAAAGCTTTGATCCTGGTCACAGCCTCAGCAGAAAACATCACCTTGAACTCTCTTCATTTTTTGAGAGTCTGTTCCTTTTGTGTCGATAATATGTTAAGCATATTTCTCCCCCGGTTCACATCAGGTCGGGTGTGTAATCAGGTCGGGTTGGGAAAGAAACAATCCAAGCCACACGAGACTCACCCCGCTGGCGGCCGAACACGGCGAGCGCGGTCCTTCCACGTGGCGAGCGCGATCCGTCCGCAGCGGAACTTCCGCTTCCTGAAGCGAAGGATGCCGAGTCCATGAACGTTTAGTAGGAGCGATCGGACGCTACGAACGGGGCGTTCCTGGCCTTACTACTAGGAACAAGAAGCTACTAGGAACAAAGGGCATCGCTACTAGGAGCAAGGACTACGTTACTAGGGATCAAATGAAGAACCACAAACCATGTGTCAGTGGATTGATTCAATCACCCTTGTAGAGGATGAGGATTTTATGAAGAGTGCTGGAAAAGTCATTTTGTTGAATAGGTTCCCCATTGCATAAAATGTCATAAAGAGTTAGGTAAGGAGGAGTTTATTCATATGATTTGTTTTGCTCTTCGTCCGGCAAGTGAGTGGAATGTGTGTGCTTCCCTACACTGACCTACAATGAAACATGGCATTAAAAAGAGAAAAAAAAAAGTGTCTTCTGGCCATTCCAGATGCCCTTCTTTGGGAAGAAACAAGACCTGTCATCCCGCCATGTCCATGTTCCAGCTCGCTCGGCATCAGTCTTTCTCTTTCGTTGTCACGGCTGCCGTGGTCATGTCATGCGATGCCTGGAGAGTTCTGTGCACTTGTTTCTTTCATGCCTTGAGTCTCAGAATCTACAGTACGCAACCCGACTCGCTCTCAAACCGCAACGCGCACAGAAAATGGCATATGGCACTTTGGAACAGGAGCACCATCCCTGGATGATATTCCTTTTTGAAACCAGTGCGTTCTTGTTTCACTTCCACTTTCGCCCAGCCTCTCTTTCTCTCTCTCCCCTTTCGCCTCGAAAACAAGTAACATAGTCCTTTCGAGACTTCCGCGCTCGAATGCGCGTCCCAAAAAAATGTGAATCCCAAACCCCGGAAACCAAGGAACACATCTGCAAAGTGGCCTCCCTCACCATCGTCACTGATGTTGCAGGGAATTTTCTTGACCCACCCACCTCCCGCAGAAGGTCGCTCCTGGTAACCTTGCTTTCCAACTGGACCAGTCGGCCGCAAAGAACCTGGCTCGTGGGGCGCTCAACGACGAACTGCTACGCTGCTACCAAACTGGGAGTCCAACACCTCCGCGGCTTTGAATGTAGGTCTGCTTGCCAATCGTTGGAGAAGCCGGAGAAGCCTTGAAAAAAAGAAGAAAACTGGCCTTTCAACCACGTTGGGTTCAAGAAATCGACCGACGGGTTTGCTGTCAGGTGGGTTATGAGCCCAAAGCCAGAGTAGCAGCTCTAAGTTCTGGTCACGTCGCGGAGAGAAGAAGAGCGAGCAGCAAAACAAGGCAAACGACGAGCAGCTGAATGTGGAGCACAAAATCTGAACCTGGTGGAGCCCTACAGTGATGTCGCGGAGCTGTATACAGGCAGGCGGATGCGCAGGTCTGTGGCAAGCCTCACACCAAAGCTGCAGGCACACCAGTCACACCAGCCTAGAAGGCGTTGGTCTCACATTCGGGCTGCGTGGAAGGAAAGTGGTGGGGAACCCACAGCTTTCTTAAGCCTCCTGCTCGCCCCCAGCATCGTGGCATCTGTGGCGAGGGCATCGCCACTCTGTGGGACACACCGACCTTCCTCACCTTCCCGGCAAGGAAACAAACGGACCCAGGAAGAGTTAACAGTGAGCAATTTTCAAGAAAGCAGATGCCTTAGAATCTCGAATTGCCTGTTGCGTTGGGCCCGCTGGCCATCCACGTCATTTTCTCCGCTTGAACTGACGAAGCGCTCGCCATGGGGCCATGGGGTTCTCAACCGGTGCGAACGGGCAATGAATCCTTGCCACTGAACGACTGACGTGAAGGCCCCAAGCGATTCGGACGAAGGCAAACGAGTGACTGGTGCCTCATCAGGGATCTGCAAGAAGACTGCAAGAAGACCTGCAAACGGGACAGAGTGAGCTGTCCCAACATAGAAACATAGATGTGGCATGCATCAATGGGCTCGCGCAACAATCATGTCTCCGATGAAATCCAACGACTGTTGGAAGCGGAGGCTAGTTTCTCGCACCAGCCGTTCCAGATGAATCACCGAGCTTGGGCTTGACACAGGCCACCATTCATTTGGGCTGCCAGGCTGCCAGAGGTCCCGCAAAACACGGTCACCCAAACTTGACCTTGAAGAATTGGAGTAACCCAGAACTTCCGTTTTGACTCATTGACTCCGCCTGGTAGCCAATCCATCCACAAATACCGGGTAAAATGAGTGACTGGACTCTCAGGGTCACATGAACGTCTCAGGGCGTCACCCGTGCCCCCCGGCCGCGTCGCCTCACTCCCTGAACACCACGCTGTCGACGTCTCGGGCGTCGGTCGGAGGACGGAAATCGAGCAACAACGAGCGTTCCAAGCGCCGGACCGTGGGATGTGTGAAAGCCCCACAAACCACTTTGTTCCTTTGTTAGTAGCTTCTTGTTACTAGTAGTAATGGCCTCCAACCTACTTGCGATGGCCTCCACCTAGTAGCGTCCTTGTTGGCAAAAGCGAGCCGAAAACTGGCCTTTCAACCGCGTTGGGCTCAAAAGCGACCAACGGGTTTGCTGTCACGTGGCGGCGCAAACCGATGAAACAGCCAAAAACAACCTCTACAGACTACACGAACAACCCGCACACATCGTGGAAAGTCACAAAAAAGCAATCCAGGCCGTGGGCCACCCCCTCAGCCCTTCGGTCCGGCCTGTGGGTCTGGGCATCAGAAACCGTGGAAGCTCCGTGGGCTGATCACTGAAGTGCAGCTGCCCCAAGAGCCACAAGGCCTTTTGTGTCGCGCGCGGGGTACGGACGCCGGTGCGACGCCCACGCGTGGGACGCTGGTGCCGGTTCTGGACTCTAGTCAGAGGCATTGAGATGCCAAGAAACACATAGAGGGAAGGGAAGAGAAACAGGACTTCCAACAGAGGTGGGTCAGAACCCTAGTTGGACTATCCCATAGGTACCCCAGTCTTATTTACGGTCAGTTCGACGGTGATATCTCAAGAGACCCTCTTCTTCTTCACCCATCAAGTATCGTTACACCTGCTGTCCAACTACACCACTTGCTTTCACCGCCGAGCAAAGAAACACGCGCAGGCGTCCCCAACCCAAACTCCCGGTTCCGGGTGCGTTCGCGTTGCTTCCGGCGCGCCTCGTCGTCGAGGTCTGCGACGCTGCTCTGCAGCTTTCGATGGACATGTTTCTGGATGAAGGCCTGGAACCGCCCAGGACGAACCGTGGGACGTCCCGGAGCGCCCGTGAGGCGCCGCGAACCAGGAAGGCGTGCCGGGGTTCCCGAAGCAAGTGCCGCATGGCCAACAGTGGGACTGCGAGAAGCCAAATGATTGAGATTTAGATAGTGGATGGGATGGGATGGGATGGGATGGGATAGTACAAACTTCGAACCAAAACAAGTCTTGCAGCCCTGAATTTGCACCCACCTGCCACCCTTTCCGAAATCCGGTCCTGCCGCCCCTCTGGGGAGAAGCGCCGGTTCACTGGAAGCTCCTCACTGGAGCTGCCCGGGTAACAAAAGGCGCCGCTGCGGCATCAGCGGAGCATTCAGAACTCTCAGAAAAGAGAATAGAAAAACCATAGAGAAAGTTGATATGTTGATAAATGTTTATACTATTTATCTTTATTCTTCTCATCTTCCCATCTTTTTTGTTACCTATATGAAGGGTGAACTGTAGCAGCTAGAGGGCCTCTGACCAACTCCGTCCCTGTTGATCAATCGCTCCTTTGGCTGGGTGAGAATGTTTCATATCGCTCCTATGAAGACCATCCACTTTGGACACTCAACACTGAGTGATGTTTGATGACTTTATTCTGTTGGGTTGTTGGTCCATGAACTGTAGGGAAAGATGGAGGTGGCCCACCGCCAGAGCTGTCCTCCTCATTCTGCTGGCTTGCGGCGATCGCGGCGCGCAAGCTGGAGCACTTGGGGGCGGGAGCCTGCTGTGGCCACCAGCGACTCAACAGAGGGAGAATGAGATGAACTACTAACATACAGGATAGTGATAGTGAACACAGGTCTGTAAAACATGAAGTAACTAGAACCAAGGACCAAGATATGCCAAGATACAAAACGGGACGCAGGAGGAGTGAGATATAGGTGTGCTTGCATGTAAATATATATATATATTAATATTGCTTGTGAACTTGAAGTCTGCTTTCGGCGCCCTCAACCGTGTTGACGGGCAACCAAGGCAGCCAAGCAAGCAAGCAAGCAAGCAAGCAAGCAAGCAAGCAAGCAAGCAA